GTAGAAGGGAAGGGAGGGCAAATCCTTCCTACAATCAAGGTGAGTAATACCTATTCATCATTACCTTTTTAATTTATGTCATCTTTGATTCCTAATCTTGCATACATCTGCCTGTAATTCCACACACAATTTTAATTACGAACCAGCATCTGCCTACATACTTAAATTCTGGGGTCAGATTTATCTGGATACTGTCACCCTTTATCTTCCCCATGATTTTGAAAGCATCACTTACCCATCCCCATCTCTTCTCTCATCGTAGTTAGTGTACGTAACCCAGGATGGGCTCATGAAAAAGGTATCATTACAAGTGATAGTCACAAGAATTAAAAATCAAATCCTCACACTTAAATCTACTTTTTGAAACATTTAAAAGATCACCTAAGCAGCCTAATAATGAAAAAGAACCAATTAGAGTATTCTATAGCAAGAAAATGAAAGCAGTGTGATATCCACTAAGCTGTGTTGTTGCAAACAGCACAGCTTAGTGGTGCCATTAATGGAAATGTTTTCAAGAGAGGCACAGAATACTAGTTTTTTTAATGCCTGGAGTATTTGTATTCTGAAGTATCTTTTAAATAAAAAGATAAATGAATGCTTTCAAATTCTGTTACCAGTGAACCAGAAAATAAGATGGTATTTCCAATTCATTTTGTGTGTTATTTGTATGGATGATTGAAGCTTTTGAAAATTAAAATGCTTAACAAAGATCCATGTTTATAATTTATAAATAAATGGCCAAATATTTAGTTTTTATTTACATTTTTAACTATAAACTTAAGTCTATTCATAATGAAATATATATATTTAAATTCAAAGATGGGTCACAATAAATCATGTAGATGTCTGTATTTTTAAACTATTTTCTGTTTTGAAATGGTGCTGGTCTTAGCAGTCACACAGAACATCTTTAAGGTCATTTCAGTCTTAAAGAAATTTGTGTCTCTGTGAACAGAGAAAGAGAGGAGGGGTGGAGCTGGGTTTTAAGGAGGCATGGGAAATGGGAGAACAGTGTGGTAGGAGTGAAGGAGGTTGTGGTTGAAAATATCCACTCTCACATTTCATTTTCTTTTTCCCCAATCCAATGTAAAAACAAGTTCAAGAGGCATCTGTAGACACAGTCGAAGAGAACTGACAGTCAATAGAACATTCATTTCTGCTTCACAGACACCCATGTGTCCCTCTTTAAAAATCCCAGTCCCCTGTCTATTTAGAGCGGCCTGCAGTCAACTTGATTTAACCTCACTCGCCTGGCGAGTGGCCCCAAGCCATTCACGGTTAATGACTTTTTCAAGATTCCTCATGTGACGAGCATTTGTCAGATAGGTCCATCTGCCTCTCACACCTAGTCAATCACAGAAGAGATCCATCAAAAGTCTGTTCACAAGTCCCCTTTTAAGCTGTTCTTAGTTTTACTCACCACGTGCCTAGAAACCTCCGCAACCACAATGATGAAAGAACGCAACGATGTGTCTTGCACTGGCCCTTCTCTGCTTCTTCACTCTACCCGCCCTGGTCAAGTAACTGCAGCCCTCGCGGAAATACCCAAAGCCTTGCTGCTAAGTGCGTTCTTGGCCTCTACCCGCCTGCCCCCCCCAACACACCTTACCCTGATTTCCACTGCCAGCACAGGCCAGATCTGCTCTCTACTCAAAAGCCCCTGATACCTGCTGGATATCATGCAAATTTATAATGTTCAAGGTATCTTCCATCCCTCCTCCCATCTCTCCTCACTAGACTCTAACTCCAACCCTCCATTCAGGATAAACAGATACACTTGTCAACCCTCCGCATATGTTCACCGTAGGTCCAGCACTGTCCCTTAGCTCAGCATCCCCTTGTCTGTACCACCCCACCCCTCTCCATGTCTTTTCCACCTGCCTCTTTGCCTACTAAACTTCTACCCTCCTTTAAGGCCAGTGTGACAAACCTGTTCTTGATGGGCCCAATAGGAATGGTCTCCTCTTGGAGCAAACTTCCGCTCCACCACATTTACAGTGAGTTTCCTCTTACATTTAGTCATATACCCCTTCCTCTTCTTAGATTCTAAGCTTTGGAGCAGGACCCCTAATTTATTCTTCTTTGCATACAGCAAAGTATCACATACTGTGCCTTTCACACAGTAGGGACTCCATCAATACTGACTGAATAAATGAACAATAGAAGTGCAAAGAAGCTATTTATTTAGCTGAAAACTTTTACAGGAGATCTCTGGTTTCATTTTGAAAGAACTCAGGTAAATGTCTAAGTTATCTCAACTGTGTCTCTTTAAACAGGGTATGGATTTATATATGCAAGTTCCAGGCTAGCGTATTTTAAGTAGAGAAAAAAGAAAGCTTCTTTACATTAGTGTTTTCTTCAAAGAAGATAGAGATCATTCAAGACACCAGATTTTTCACTTATTTTGAGGATCTTTTCAAAAGAAAGTGGTACTTTGAAGCAGTAAAGATGATATAGCTATTTGTTTTGTGTTTTTTTTTTTTTTCTACCAACTGAGCTAAGGGAAATCTTAGTTTATACTGGCTGAATCACTGACATGACTTTTAAGGATAAAACAATTTGAGAAGCTGAAAATCAAAGGTGCCCATATTTTTACCACTGTGTGTATAGATTTTGAACAAATGTGATTAAGAATTCACTTTTTAAAATTCAGTGGAACACTAGTAACCCAAATGTCAGAAAATATGCCATATTATAAAATAACCATGCTTATATCACACTTTAAAGATGCTAGGAAGCATGATGTAATTCATGGTGTCAGGGGTGATCTTTCAACCTTAACTTTTTCTTTTTCTCTCATTCCTTCAACACATTAATTAAATGGCTCTTAAATGCTACGCAATATACTAGCACAGAAATACACAGTAAGCTCAAAAAGACATGGTCCTCGTGTGAATTCTGCTTATATTTAGTCCTTTTTTTAAAGATTTTATTTATTTATTTATTTGCGGGGGGAGGGTAGAGGGGGAGGGAGAGGGACCAGCAGACTCCATGCAGAGCACAGAGCCTGACCCGGGCCTCAATCTCACAAGCCTGAGATCAGGACCTGGGCTGAAATCAAGAGCAGGACACTTAACCGACTGAGCCACCCAGACGCCCCATATTTAGTCCTTTCTTTACACAAAATTTAATAGCTTCAGAACTGAAGCCATTGACATTCCCTAAAACCAGCTCTTCTGCTTGAGTTTGTAATTTTGGCTGACAGCATTATTTCTCTGTTTGAAGCCACAGAATTGCCAAGGCCCTCAATATGTGTCACACAAACTACTGCAATATTCTTCCAATTATGTGTACTAACCCCAGTCTTTTTATACTTGAAGGCATTACACAAATGTCTGGATTCAGCTTCTTAAGCTTATCACTTCCCTAAGTAAGGACTAATGACTCCAACTGACTCTTGAGGCAGTATATAAAATTGTCCCAATCTACTTTTCTCATCTTAATAAGCCATTTTTTTTTGTTTTTTTTTTTTGTTTTTTTGGTAAACCCACCCTCAGCTTCACTCAAACTCAATTATTTGCTATCCTAAATACACCGTACCCATTTCTTCTTCTGTATATTTACTCAAGATATTCTTCCATGGGACCTACTCTTCCTTCCCTACACAACCTTTGAGATTGAGATGTCCTTTAAGAAAGACCTTAAACAGAGTGCCTGGGTGGCTCAGTCGGTTAAGCGTCTGCCTTCAGCTCATGTCGTGATCCCAGGGTCCTGGGATCGAACCCCGCATGGGGCTCCTTGCTCGGCGGAGAGCCTACTTCTCCCTCTTCCTCTGCCTGCCTCTCTGCCTACCTGTGCTCTCTATCTCTCTGTCAAATAAATAAATAAAATCTTTAAAAAAAAAGATCTTAAACAGTAATTTCCCTATAAATTCTTATAGGATTTTCACAGCTGTCTGAGCTTTGTCATCGCTGAAAACCCCTATTTCATTATTTGTATTTTCTAAGGAACTCCCACATTCTGCTTCACTCTAATAGTCCAATAGACAATGTAATCCCAAGGCAGAGGTACCTTTATTTACCATTGCTCACAGTAGATACTTAAAAACTTTTATTTGCTTGTTGATATTTCCAGTTACAAAGCTTATCCTGAATCCTACATAATTCTAAGTCTTATATTAAAATATGGCAGTAGTGATCAACATGATTCTCCTACCATTTGGAAGAGCAGTAATGAAACCAGTGAAGGAAAGGGACTCCGGTCTTTCATGCATTAGGCATGGGCACTCTGCAGATTTCCTCCCAATTCTGGATTTCTTTTAACTTACTTCTTTACTTAGGCTTCCAATTTTTATGTTTTTCTCTCAGAATACAGGGATATTCTCTGGCCTTTTGCTTATCTCTGCTAGTAGCACTTAAGGATTACATTTTTTTCTGACTTCTGGGATATACTATAAGGAACAATAATTGCCTTTCTAGGGTTTTGCTAATCTCTAAAGTAACCTCCAAAGGTTGTGCAGAAAAATAAAACTAAAAGATTACAAACTGAATCTCAGTGCTTATTTTTAAAATTCAAAGGAGTGCTCAGTCAACATAAGTGGCATTAAAGGCGTTGGGGCAGAACCCAAATAATTAAAGCTAATATACATGAGGTGGGGTGTGTCTATATATATTTACATCAATCAATTCTATATATTAAGAGAAAAGAAAAATAACAACTTCCTTAATCCCCTTTTTTGTTTTTTCTAGGTCTCTTCCCATGTATGCAGTCTTACCATATTATCAAAAATGAATTAAAACATAGAAGGAAAAAGAAGGGGGAAAAAAAGTAGAAGGAAAACGGATGAATCTAAGCTGAAAATTATTATAACTACATTTTTTTCTTCTGAAAAGTTTTTCCAATAGCTCTACTCTTTCTTAGGTTTTATTTACACCCATGACTGTGATAGAAGACAATGGTTTTCCCAATAAGTGTCCCTCTTGAAATGTAAAGTAAATTAAAAATAATAACTATAGTGAAACTGTAGATTATTTAGGGTGAATGTGTAGAAAACCACTTACCCCCAGTTGCCACAGTGATTTCACGTAGGAAATGGCCATAAAATGGAAAATCGAAGGACAGATTCACTCTCTGCAAGGAACAACAACCAGAAAAGAAAATCAATAATGTGCATAATAGTAAATGTAAAATGATAAGTCTTGCACTTAAAAAAAAAAATGATGCTTCTACTTTGCACCACTATGATTGCTGTTGGCTATTCGATCCTGAGTCCTAGATGGTAATAAAGGATTTCTTTTTTTTCTGGTTATTAAGTGTTCAAAGTATGTGAGAAGAAAAAAAGTTGCACTGTTATGGTCTGTTGGTCTGTTTCTTCGCTTACAAAGGAATCTGGAAGTTTCCACTGTGATTCAAGCTACTCTGTCTTAACATCACTATTGCCTTCTAGTTGTCCACTGAGAATCAGTTCAGTTATCATGGTGACCAGTTTATTTCATGGTTCTTTTTAGTTTGATTAGGTTTCTCCAAAATAGAGCATGTGATCTGTCAGGTTTCATTGGATACAACATCAAAAAAATGATTTTATACAATTATACATTCAATTTGTCTTCTGTATATCCCATAATGAAAGGCAGTTTCATGGAACAAAATACCTTGCACTGTGATCAAGACCTGCAGATATTTTTATTTCTGGTGTAATGAGCTCTCCAGATTCAGTTTATTACGTCCACTTTCAAAAGCAGAGTTGAAGAATAAAAAATGCTGGTTACCGGAGAACTACTTTTCCTTTGCATAGAAGAAAACTGGAGAGACTTAAGAAGAAAGCTCATAAATTTCACCCTTCTTTTTTTCTAAAAAGGGAACTGAAGCTTTTTTATTTTATTTATATGTATTTTAATTTATTAGTATATATATTTATATTATTTACAAGATATATATGTTTTTATATATCATATATATTTATACATTAAAAATAGATACAATTTATACAATAAATATATATACAGAATATACACAGTAAAATAAAAACAAAGCACAACAAAGCAAAACAAAAACCCTAGAATTTTCATGGTGAAGGATATGAACCAGATATATTATTATTAGACAAGAAGGAAGAAAAACAGTGAGTTATAACAAAGATGACCAACTGAAATAAAAGAATCCTGAGGGAATGTAATTACCTGGTTTAGAGCCCCACAGCACGTACAAACTACCTATAGCAAAAGGCTTTTTTGTTAAAATTCAACAATCTCTATATTATAGCTTTCCCAATATACAAATTAAAAAATATGGAGAAGTATACCTAGATTGAATTTTGCTCATTCCAATTTTGCAAATAATTGCTTTTTTATATCCATCAGAGATTTCTAATGACTTATTTTGGCATGAAATTAATGATTCAAAATTTACAGTAACTTTCAATTAGTTTTTCGTTCCTTCCTTTTCAATGAAAGCTGCATCTTCAGAAAGGGATTATCACCATTTTTATTTTTTTGCTGACCAATGGGAACAATAAAACCCATTTTCATTGCACTAACTGAAATGAGTGGTCACTAATAACCCTCAAATAAAAGGTTTAATGGCAAAATCATGTATCTCACAAAAGCCACCAAAAATAATTTTATAAAGGAACTTGCTGTGGTGTATTGTTCTTCATCATTCTAATCTATTTCCATACTCATGGGCAAATTGGTAAAATTTATCACTTTGGCATCCTCACTTCCAGAGCAGGAGTTGGGTTTAAACATATATCACTAACAAACTCTACGAATTACTACCACAGATGAACCAGAAGAATATGACGTTAGTTTCTCAGCCACCACAAATATTTCAATATTTTTAGAAGAAGAGTGAGAAGCATAAGTTAAAGACTTTTTTTTTTGAAAAGTAAATAAGCTCTCAAAGAAAATTTGCTACTATATTATCATGAAGAGTAATATCAATGATTGAACTGTTTCCCTGTGTAAATGACCAGGTTACCTTCGTTACCACCATGACTGCTTCACGGACACTGCTAAGGAATAGCAATGGAAATTTAGAAAGAGCTACCTTCTCAATACTTGTGAAATCCACCCATTTTTTTTCTGTGGGTAATAGTTTCCAAATGTAGGTGCCTAATAACTTCTTCATAGTGTCTTGGCTCCATTTTCCCTAGAATTCGTTCTCCATACTCTCTGGCATATCACTCTCCCACTTAAGATCATTCAATCTAGATCCCACCATCTCTGCCATCATATCAAAATAGTGACCATGAGTCCGAAGGCCCAACACTAACTGGCCCCTGCTACCTCACAAATTTCCCTTCCCATTTTCTGCTCTAGCCAGTCTTCTAGAGCATCCTTTAGTTCCTTGTAACTGTCGCCTTTAAGTTTTGGGTCTGGTACTACTACATGATCTCTTCTGACTGCCATAGTCTCTCAACCTTGGTTGGCCATGGCTTCCACATTCTTTAAGCCTTGGCTCAGTTTGGTTGGTGCTCCAAATATTAACTCTGATATAAAGATTTAGGGGCGGATGGTTTGTTTGGAAGGTGATCAAGATGCATTTGCTAAAGAAAGTGGGGAAGCGTGAGACAAGGAAAGAGAAACCAGTGATAGATACATTATTAGGTATGTTACTGCTATAGTTAGTTCTCCCCTTGGAGAACCTCAGAGAAACAATAGGGAAGACATGCCTCAGAATCTTTTGTTTGGAGGTCAGGAGGCTGGGACGTTTATTCATGAACTCCCATCTCTGACCGAATGGAGGCTAACTCGCCCCTCCACCAACTACCCATGCTTGCACCCTCAGGCAGAAAGAAGAGACACAGTACTTAAGCTGGGAAGTTGCTGATATGTTAGAACTGCCTCTCATGGTTTCAGGTGAACTCAGGGAGGCAGAAGGAATATGAAGAAGCATCAATAGGCACAGGCTAGGACCACATCCAGAAAGTCCTACTTTGACCTCTTAGCTCAAGTTATGTCTTCTTACTGTATCTTACCTAACATTCTCTCTCTATATACACACACAAAGCAACTGCTTGAGATTCAAAGAATAACTGTATCAAAGTGAAACTAACTCAGCATCAGAGTAGTTAAAAATGGCCCAAGAGGAAAACTAGAATTGGAACCTGGGTTTGATGGACAACAAAGACAATGGTCCTAATTACCGAGATTAAAACAAAGTGATGAGAAAAAAGCCTTCATTTTTGAAAGGCAAATTTTTGAAAATTATTATTATCCCTCCTTAAAACACACACACACACACAATCAAACAATAGGAAAACAAAAACAAACATAAAATGCACTAGAATATCATGACGTGCTTTGAAGCTAAATGATTATATATTCAATATAATTACCCCTGGATAATTGGATCATCATTTTGTCTCAGTATGATATATAAAACAGGCACGAGGGGAGCTGAAGAAAAGTTTTATTTGTTCATTCATCCAGTTGACAATCACTTATTTAACACCTCATATATGCCAGGCCATAAATCAGGGTCTGGGGATAAAACAGTCAGTAAGTCCCACCCAGTTCCTTCCTTCAAGGAGTTCACAAAGTGGTGCAGGGGAATATCACATAGTGATAAACAGCAGGACCAGGCAGGGGGCAGAGTAAGGACAAGGAGAGGCCACCTATCCCAGAGCAGATGGCACTAACACTGACTCTCCTAAAGAAACAACCAGAAGTTAGCCCGATGACACCTTAAGCCACGAGAGCAGAAGTGATGGGTCAAAATACAGGTAGAAAGTAAAACCAGAAGGACTTCGTGATTATTGGAAGGACCCTTAAATTGGGAGTGGAGGAAGATAGTCTAGAAAAAAGGACAGGTTTCTAACTGGGTGACTGGGGGACACAGTACCACCAATTGAGAGAAAGAGGGCAAGCCAAAGAATTATTTTGGTTAGGTGTGAGAAGACTCATTACTTAAGCATCCTTCAGCCACATAATAAAAATAAATAAGAACGAACCCAAGTTGTATATGCAACAAGGAACTCTCCTGCAACCAGAAAGGCTAACAGAACCCTGGAATTTGTCACAAAAAGCCACAATAAACAAAAGCCAACATAATACTGAAACTACAGTGTAATTACCATACTTTGCACATTATCCTGTCTTGGATCTCATCCCTTAAGCAATATATCATGCAAAGGGAGGAAGGGTTCAGCAAACCTGTCATGTGATTATTAATTAACAGTCTGGGAAAAAATATAAAAGCTCAGAAGTGAAATTTTCAAGAGCATATTTGACATAAATAAAATCAACTGAATTTGCTACTTCCTTACACTCTGTAGAAAGCAGTGAATTATTTGAAAGGAGAAATGGTAATTTTGAGACAACAAGCACATATGACTTCTTCATATGGGGGAGGATAAACTTATAAAACATTCTTTGAAGAGTTTGTAGAAGTATATAAATAGATACCCAGGTGGTCTGGTGCAGATTTATGGCAGGTACAGCCATGTACAACTGCGACCTTTAAAACCACATCATGCTCTCCCACAATGTACCCCATGAAATTACTGTTGGGAACAGACTATCAGACTCAATCAGGGCCATCCTCCCAGATTTCTAAGTGTGTCTGCACCTCTTATTGCCTCTTCTACATATTTTTCTTATGCCAATTGCTATCTGTTTCAGACTAATGATTATGATCTCTGCTAATTCTTTTTTAATAACACAGGAATTGTAATCCTAAGTAAACACTATTCCAGTTTAACTTGTTTACCTATTTCTCCATGGTATTACAACGATAAATTAATTTGCCAATGCCTGTAACACCTTGAAGACAGAAACCTCCTAATATGAGTTAAGTATGTGGAGTGGGCACATTTATCATCCTAAAAGCCATTTTTCAAAATGTCATTAATAAAAACTGCTTTTTAATTTTAAGATAACTTGTTTTTTTTTTTTTAAAGACATCTTCTTATGTACAATAATAAAGCTACACTTTCCTGGTTCCCCCAAGTCTTTATTTCATTTGTATAAGACATAATCCTGGTGAAAAGCTTGTGGCAAGAAAATTAGTAGTAACTAAACTTTAAGTAATTGCTGATTTTATGGGTGCATGATAGCAAAGGGTCCAAAGAATTTAGGGAGTATTCATTTATTCGAGAATGAATTCATGAATCAATCATTAATTTCTAT